GGGGGGGGTATAATCACTTCTTTTGTCTGCCTGTACCATTGTACATCAATAGAACTGTACGATACATCAATACTGTAAACTAGCTTACATGTAGTTTATTTAGTTGTATCTGGAGATGCATGTTGTTTCTTGGTGGGGTAAGATCCAACTGCCCTTTAACATTCTTCAACTGAAATAGAAAGAAGAAAATAACATTGTATACAAATAAAACAATAAACCAATATATATGAAGTCAATAAAAGATGAAAAAAAGAATTAGAAATCACTATAAATAACAAGCTGATTGAGAAGTTGAATGAATAAATAAATGAAAAGTGGAAAGACAAGAATGGTGAAATGTAATTAGATATTTTTAATAATGTTTTTTACATTCACTTTACATTTTTTAAAGAAATATTGTAAGAAATAAAGCTATATTACATAAAAGAACTAAAACCTTTTGTAACTCAAAAATATTCTTTTGTTTTGAAATCATAATAACTGGCTAGTAATTGTCAAAATGATACAAGTCTTCATGCTGACATCTGTATAATAACTTTTCCTCTCACCAGTGTGAATGAAATGCAAAGAGCGCTTCTTGCTGTTGCTGTGTACACTCTTTTCTCCATAGGGGTGAGGGGAGGGAAGCAGCTGTACACACGCAAGTGGCTTATTTCCTCATTGATTGTTCTTCTTATAATATACAGTACTGGGCAGTAACTATTAGTTACAAGGCATATATAAAATGCAAATATTAAAAATTCATTGAGACTTGCTTTAGAAATTATTGTTTTGTCAAAAATAAAAATAATATTCCAGAAATTCCTGAAGTAATGCATGAGTTTTAAATTCTGCTAAATGAGTGATATTTTATCACAAAAATTCACTAAATCCTAGAGGAGTGTAAAATTACAACATTATCTGAAGTATTTGTTTACTGAATCATTTATATCGATGTTAAATTTAAATATATTGACATAAGATATTTATATTAGCAATTCTGAATGAACGTTATGTCTGCATCCAGTATTTTGGTACCATAACCGTAACTTAGGATTTCCTAATCTAAGCTAGTATATATAATAAGCTACCATTAAAAAATAAATTTTTTTTTTCGTGTTCTTCGTTTGAGTCTTAATGGAAAAATTAAATAAGAAAGACAGGAACTTAGCCAACAGCTGTCCTTAAAAAATATAATAGAAATTATCTAAATAACATTTATATATTTTCTAAACATGTCGTTTACTATGACTGAATTTAAGCTTATCATATTTTTTAATATAAAAAAGCCAGAGGACATTTGAAATATTAAGATTCAGTTCTAAGCACGTTACAATTTAAGCACTAAATGCGTAGAAACATTATAAGTCAGTGGCCTTTGGTAGTTCAAATGTACTCAAATAATCTTGAAACTATACTTCATAGTAGTTCCAGCTCCGTGTTTTTTCAACCTTACCCGTTTTTGATAGTCTTCTTCTTGTCGTTTCTTCATTCGTTGTTCAATCAAACTGTTGCCTCGCGACGCCATGTCGAAAATGTCGAACACTTATAGAAAAAGCTTGAGCTAGTCAGACCAAATAAAACCACTCTGTTTTTTCGCTTGCAAACGTCAAATATCTAAATTACTTATATCCGGTTTTGTTAAGTAAATATGTACAAGTTCTTCATATCTTTTCTGATGTTCATTGCGTTTGTTTGCGTTGATAATTTGTCACGGAGGATCATGTCGATGAACCGAAGAAGATCCGTGATGAAGGCCTTTTCTTTGACTTTAGAAAGACTAAACCTCGAAAATTCGGAAACTTAAAGAAAAATCTTCTTGATAAAGAAAGGAAACAGCTTTATCAGGTGTCAAAGTTAAATACACAGTTTTAAATTTGATCGAAATAATTTTTTCAGACGATCAGTTCGATCAAGTCGTTAATAGGAAAGCGTTCAGTTCAGCTGTGTGATGAGCCGATAACTCTTACTTAAACACAAAAGCAAGGATTAAACCTTATTGAAATACAAAGCGAAGGATTAACGCTTTGCTGTTGTTTCTCGTGTAGTTGTCACCTTAACTCATCAAGTCTGCCTGACCGAAGGTACTGAACGATTTGTTGTAGCAACGGTAGTTCAGACTGATATCTTCCACGCTTATGATTTGCATATTGCCTGTTGTGAAAACAAGTTATAGGCATATCATTCAATGACGCGGTTGTTTTTTTAGAACCACGAAGTTTTAATAAAGAAACAAATTCTTGCAGTAACTCAGTCAACATTAGCAGGTGCAAGGGTATAAATGGTATTATCAAAAGGCGGCTGTCATCGATTGATTAAGCAATAGAAAACTTTTTCCGTGTTTACATAGCCTGATAGCAACACGAGGGGAGGTTGGGAGAATTCGAGACAGTTATACAAACCCGAGACGTAGTCGAGGGTTTGCATAACTGTCGAGAATTCTCCCAACCCCCCGAGTGTTGCTATCAGGCTATGT